TATATGTGGTATTTTGGGGAACTCACTAAGCATTTATGCTTACAGTGTTGTGTTATGTGTTTCAGGTACCAGTGAGGATCGCAGGAAGGCGCCGACATGATCAGTACACACATGAGGAGTTTTATACATTATGATCTTGGGGTTGTGTTTCTATGGATTGATATGTGATACAATGACATTTTTATAATATTTATGAATGAAAGTATGTTTTTGAATATGTGAAAAATTGTTTAAAATTTCGGTGTTACAATCATCTTCATTAGGATAGCTTTATCCAAAAGGATAAGGAAGACCATAGTTGTCATAACTAGACATCTATGAGGGAGAAATTCAAGTTTAGTTGATTTAAGTCCTTAATATAACACCCAATATGAAATATTAAGGCTAGGACCCAACACAATATTTTATAACTTGGAAGAGGGATGCCGTAATCCAAGCTACAAAATATTTGAAGGTAGGTAAATGACGATTTACCAATTTTCACCATGAAAAATGAAATTTAACATTAGGTTTTAAATGAATTGAAACTCCTAGATCTTTTGAGATTCATTGAACTATTCAATGGCATGTTAAATCTCGGTTGTGCCCTTCAAGTTTGTGACTGGGATGCCGAGAATCACAAACAAGGAGTGAATAACCATGCAAATTAACTTGGTACACTTAATGTTACAACCACCTAATCAATGTGCCGATTAACCACACACGCTCCATTGATCTATGATTAACATCAAGCTACCCTTTGCCACACAGTGTTAGTCGCAGATTAGTATGCTGGTTAACCACACACGCTCCACTAACGACTTAACAAGGTGCAAAGTGTAATTTTATGGGTTAGCACCAAATTCACATTTTCCTAAGTAACTAAGATTGGGAATTTATAAGTGTTTAGTTACTTAGTATCTATCATTATACTTTTAATGAAGGGATAATTAATGTCCTATCCTACCCATTCGGCTAACGACCCTCCACCAGTCAAGGAAGCGGTGGGTGAGAGTGGACACCCATTAAACTGTCATTTTATAGGCAGTAACCTTATACCCCCCTTATAGATCGGCTTCGTGAATGAGGCCTACTAACGGTAAGTCTGACTTATTCTTATACATATATATAAGTATTAACTTTTAATATTATAATAGTATAAGGGTTGAATTTTAAACTATTTAAATTCTAAGGGTTGGAATTAAAGTATACATGGGGGTGACTTTACAAATTCCAAACTTGAGGGCAAGTTTTGAACAATTCAAAAACTTTTGATTTCCATAACCTATGAGTTTAAAGTAGTTTAATGAAAAACTCTTCAAGTTCCATAACTTGAGGACAAGTTATGGAAGACTTAAAAAAACATTTAAAAATGAGACTCTTCATTTTCATAACTTATGGAAATTTTATGAGTTTTAAAATTCATAAAATGAGACTTTTCATATAACTTGAGGACAAGTTACAAAAACACATATTATGAACAACTTTTAGATCAATATGGATCGAAAACAAATTATCACATAATTTCTCTATTAATCTAAACTAACTCATAAGAACAAGATAATTCATATCAACAATTTTCAAGAACTTATCTAATCACATAAACAAAAACAAGTCTTGAAAATTTGACAATTATCCTTTATTTGGATGAGAATAAACATTACCATAACATCAAAATCAAATTTTATGAACAAAAACACTTTGTGGTAATGATTCTAATCCAAAACAGGCCAAAAAAACTCGAATATATGTTGTCAGGGGCTACAACTCGCCGAGTGCAAGAACCAACTCGACGAGTTGGATGAGATTACACATGGAATCGTCGAGTCCCTCAATGGACTCGTCGAGTCCCCTGTCCAGACAGCAAAAAAAATCAATTTTTCAGCAATTTGCATCAAGTATAATTGAAAACAAGCCTTGTCTCTGATACCACTGTTGGGTTTTCTATGCTACAACATCCTATGGTGCACATGCAACCCTAAATACCTTGGATCTATGTTTTCACTAATTATACATGCAATGATGTTTCCAAGGTATTAAGCCTATAACTAGCATGCAATTGACAAAATACCATACAAGATACTAGTTAGGGTAACATACATTTTATGTAACTTGAAGTCTTGATGTATTTGGCCTTAAGAGCTTAGCACCAAAAGTATGAATGCCTCAAATGGCTCACAACTCACCTAGGACAAAGGTGGCTCTTGAGAGAGAATTCCATCCACACCAAAATCAACTCCATGAGCTCCAAGAACTACTAGTCACGATTTTGGCTATGGAGTGATGTATTTATATATAGGATTCCAAGGGTCATGGGTATAACCCAAATCCAAACCCATGGGTATTATGATCCATGGTTCATGTGGCCTAGCTCTTTATGTATCCATACATAAACTTGGTCCAACATGGATCATAAGCCCAACACATATAAATATAACTAATTATCATAATTAGTCCTCATAGATTTAATTAGTCTCTTTTGATCACTAAATTAATTCCAAATTAATTCTTGATCAACACTAATTAAAACATATGATTTCATATTAATATATTAGAACTTATAATATATTAATAAATCATATATAACCTTCTCTCAAGAGTTCATCCTAACAAATTGTCCTGATGTTATGCAACCCAAATGGACCATGCTACTCTCGGTTCGAGTACATACCAATAATAGTTATGGGCTTAGACATCCAATCCAACACATTTTACGTTACATACGTAGTTCCTTAGATCTCGGCCTCCAGCTACATCACTCTTCATCCACTGATCTTATTGCCTATTCAGATGCAGATTGGGGTGGACGCCCTTCTTCTCGAAGATCTACTAGTGGATATTGTGTCTTCTTAGGCGACAACTTGGTCTCCTGGTCTTCCAAATGCCAACCAACCGTATCACGATCTAGTACGAAAGTTGAATACCGCGGTGTCGCCAATGTGGTTGCGGAGACTTGTTGGCTTCGAAATCTTTTGTGTGAATTACATATCCCCATTCTGAAAGCTACTATTATGTATTGTGACAATGGCAGCGTTGTTATCTTTCCATAAATTTGGTTCAACATCAAAGGACGAAACACATTGAAATTGACATCCACTTTGTTCAAGACAAAGTCGCTACCAGTCAAGTCCGTGTTCTTCATGTGCCCTCTACCCTTCAGTGTGTTGATATATTCACTAAAGGGCTGCTTACCTCCTTATTCACGGATTTTAGGAATAGTTTGAGCATCCGGAATGCTCCAACCGCTCACACTGTGGGGGGTTATTAGTGTATTTTGTGTATCTTGCATTGTATTGTATTATAGCCCATTAGATAGTCCATTTGTATTAGTTCCTAATCCCGTTGTACTCTATATTATATATATATATATATATATATATATATATATATATATATATATATATATATATATATATATATATATATATATATATATTCTCCTTTGTTTAATGAAATCATTACGAAGAATATTCACCAAACAAGATGCATACATGGATATTATTGCTCCAGTTATAGATCTATATTTGGGGGTTTGGTTGTGTGGAGGTCTGAAAGCATTATCATATTGTACAGAGGAGCTGACTATGTCCTTACTTCTTTGTAAAATCGAATGATGCATCCGTTAGTGAACCAATGAGTTCATCTATAGACTCTTAAGATGGTGGTGTGAAAGAAAGCTATTCCATTGGTCCAGATAATAGATTGGCTTTTATAGGTAGGTGGGGTTGGGGTAGAGTTTATTTATGTAAAACTTCATAAATGGTCCCTATGGTATTCAAAAGACTATTTGGTCGTCATCAAAATGGATTTAACAGAAAAAAACAACAAAGTTAGGGTTAAGGACCATCCTTTAAAAGTTTTGAAACGTTGGGGACCAACGTTGATGACCTAAAAAGTTAAGGACTGAACTCGATTTTTTTGGAAACCATATGAACCATTTTTGAAGATTTATCGAAATATAATGATGATAAATTATTTTTTCTAAACTATAGTTATCAAAAGTTAAAAACCATCCAAATTTTAATGCCAAGTGCTATTAACCTTCTCAATTGGTAAAAACTTTTTTTATGCATACTAGTAATGATGGTTTTTTTTAAATAAAATGAATAAGATTTTTCAATTTTGTAACAACTCGGGCCAAACATTTTTTACATATTACAAATGTTACGTCTTCTAAAGGAAACAATATTATTGTATGGTATTAATTTTAATTTATAAGTTTATATAGTAAATGTTAATTTGTTTGATAGATAAAGATTAATAAATTACAAAATCCATTGATACGATTTTTTCAAATAAAAACATCATACATTAAACTATTTTTATATTTAATTGTATAAAATATATTTTGTTTCAAATAAAAACATCATAATTGTTAAAATATATTTATATATAATCGTATAAAAAAATTACCAAAAGTATGAATATAATTTATTTATTTTAAAAAGTATTTAAGCCAATTTGTTAAAATCTAAGGTGTTGTTTGTTTTGGAAGTGGTTAAATGTCTTTTGTCTTTTTCCATGTTTGCGGAAGAAGACGTGCACTTGAGAAACATCTACCCGCCAGAAGGAAAAAGTGCTCAAAAAGTACTTTTGTAGAAAAACAAACGAGGCCTAAAAGACCAACGCTACTTGAAGTAGCTATTGGATTTGAACCTTTTTGTTTAACCCAAAAGCTAAAAGCTCATGCTTCCGAACAAAAGTTTTTGTTTTTCTTCGAGTTTTTTCTTAAAAGTTAGAAGCTATAAACTCTCAAAAACTGCACGACGAACACGCCCAAAATATCATCTATAAATCTATAATATTAATAATATATCTCTTCTAATAAAATAATAATGTAGTAATTTTTGTTTTACCTTGAACAATAAGTGTTATTGCAGGGTTTGCACAGAGTCCTAAAATGATTATAAAAAATGTATTATCTAATCCCCAAACAATCACTTACATAAATACTAAAAACTAATTACCTGTCATTTAAAATCGCAAGAATCAACAATCATATAAAAAACAAATCCAAGAAACCCCGAAACTTTGTCATCAGTTGGTATTATTTTTCCAAAAAAAAATGGAAACAAAAATAAATAACACTCAAACATGGGCTTCAAACTTCGAAGACTACTAACTTATAGTTAATAAAAACAAAAACTCAAAAAGACACTAGATATGGTTAATAATTATCACACACTTCAGTTCTACCAACAAATTAATAAATAAATCCCCCAAGATCATAATAGGGTATCTAAATACTGACTTATGGTAGTGTACTTCAAATTAGGATACAACACCGACCCTTCCACACCTCCACATTCCTCCACTTGAAAACACGTTTGAAACCCCTTCACAAATGTCGCATAAATAAATACCATTTCCATGTTATCCGGATATGGAGTTTCTGAAAATCAAACAATTTTTATCAAGTCTATGATGTCAATTATAGTAATGTACTTTCACAAATGTTTCGTTTTATTATATTATTATACCTTTAATCTTTTTTAAAAGATCTTCTTCCTTTACATAAATCTTTTCTAGCTTCTTCCTAATCTTCCCTTCCCAAATCTCAGCAAGTTCATTCATGGAGTACATATTCCCTTGTGGTCTTAAATATAACACCTTATTTAGAGTTCGTGGATCGTCCATTGTACTAATTGTGAATTTAGCAACGTCTGTTACTTTCATAAACACACCTACAATTTTTTCTAAAAAGTTCAGTGTCATTCTTTTTTATTTTATTTTTTTGTTTTGGGATACTGATAATTTCTATCATGATTTAACAAACTTACCTTTGACATTTCCATTTCCAAATATGGTGATTTTATCTCTGGGAGGAGCTTTCAAGCCGGGTTGAACTAGAGAAGGAAGCAAGTAACTCATGAAAAAGTTACACGATATGAAGGTGTATGGAATGCCTTGAGCTTCTATAAGTCGTCGAATTTCTGCTTTTCTTGAATAAAAGCCTTGATCCATGTCGGATATATGAGTTTTATCAGGATCTAATCCGAATTCTGAAGGGATAAATCTCTACAAGGATTATGTGTTTCAGTAAAATGTGGAGGCAATTGCTTATTTTGCTTTTTCTATGATGAAACTTTATAATGGATAGAGCAAGAAATTTAAAGGAACATGACCTCAATGCATCCAGCTTTCTTAATGGCGGAAATGAGAGGCTTCTGATCAAGGACCTGTTTCGAGTTAACTGCGCATATCACAACCTTCACTTGCTTAATCGCTTCGATGAGGCTTCCTTCATCATGCAATGAACCCTAGAATTCACCCAACCAACATCATTCGCATTTCCATAAATTCTATTTTCTACAAAATCACCTTCCATTGACAAAATTTCAACTTCAAAATCGATAACAAAGAGTACTAACTGAATGGACAATGTAATTGCAATTGGCGACAATCAACAATGGTGAGGCTATCAAAATTGGGAATTTCGTCAATAGCGGTGGTGCTAGAACTTACCTCGAGGATAATGGCGCCGGAATCGATGAGAATTTGAAGTTTGCGGGACTTTTCGGGGTCGGAGAAACTGGTGGATCTGACGAGGCAATATGTAGGATGAGATGCTTCGAGGCTAGCGTTTGCAAGTTCAAAACCTAATCTACCGGTTACTCCTACTGTCAGTACAGAAGATTTTTTCTTCTTCACTTCCGCTGATTGTTCCATTTCTTGTGATAGTATCGGAAATCGGTACACTAACCACCGTTTACGGCTGACCACGGCGAGTCCAGGTGGCGGGTGGCGTGTGCTGTACCTTGGGATTTATAAAATAATGTGTGTACAAAAATATTAAAATATCTTGGAAGAGTCTAAAACATCTTCACATGTGTTATGGTGTTAGCTGCGAGTATTAAAAGCACTAGTGAAATACAAACCTCGTTGTTGTACTATTTATGTAATTTGTACCCTACTTATTTGAAAAAAAACTACCATTTTTATAAGTTAAATATTAATGCCATGAAACTAAATATGTTAAAGTATAAAGTAACAACAATTTTGATCTGGTTTGGTGTACGATAACTGATTTGGTGTACGATAACGTAAATTTAACATTTTATTTCGTTATCAGGTGTAAGACTCATGTATTACATGAATTAATTAAAAAAATATATATAAAGGCTTAAATATTTAAGAACTTTGGATCAATAAGAAAATAAGAAAAATAATGAATTGTTAAAGTTGATTTTTTTATCTTTTAAATTTAAATAAATAAACAAAATAAACTAAATAGCTTTAATTTAGAAATTTTGAAATAAAAAGGTAAGTTCATTAATGAAATTGATATTCATTTATTACTACATTTATTGTAATTATTACATTAAACTATTATGTGAAATTTATTAAAATAGAAAAACTCATAAAATGAAATGTGGAAAAAAAAATTAATTCAAAATAACCACAAAATGACATTTATTGTAATTATTACATTAAACTACATTTATTGTAACAAAAAAAAACCTTTATTTATTAGAGTAGATTTTTGTTTAGATTTTCTAGATATTTAATTTTATTTAATATATATATATATATATATATATATATATATATATATATATATATATAAACATTCAATAAGTTTTATTCAGTGGTATATTAACTAAAATAAAACATGTTTGTCCTCCAGACGAACTAAAAAAACATACATATTTATTTAAGGAAAATGACACCGTAGCATATTAAAGTTTGTTAATTATCCGATTTAGTCACTAAAGTTATTTTTTTGTGCAATAGGCCATTAAACTTGTTATTGACCTATTAATTAAACCATTTTACGAAACATTAACAGGTTTACGCGGTAACAAAATCTGATGTGGCATTAGTAATTAATTTTTCTTTATTGTTTTGTACTGTAATGTGTGTCATGTGTATGGGAAGCTTCCAGCTCATCTCCTTCTCTTTCTTCTTTCATGAACATGTTACCCATATCCTCTTGTTATCTTTTTCTCTTCCCAAGATAACTGTTCCTTTTCTTCTTTCTTCCGACTGTGTTCATTGGAAATTCTCTCCACCAAAGAACTGCCACCGATCTCTTACTGTGTAACCTCCAAAATCCAAGTCTGTTATAGTAACTATTCATTCACAATTCCTTCTCTCAATTTCTTTTCAAATTTAACTAAATCCTAATCATTTATGTGTTCCAAGTCTCCCACATTGAAGCAGTCTCCATATTTTCAATCATCTTGTTCGAATGAACCTAGCTACGCACCCCCAATCAGAATCTAGGAGAATATTAGAACTTTTCACGCCATGATGAGTTGTCAGAGGGTTGATTTCAATGTGGAGAAATGTAAGAGCTTTTACAGCTTCCATCATGATTTTTAACCGGATCGGCCAGTTCAACGGTGATTTTGTGGTGTCTTTGAGCTTTGAAAGTCGAAAAACTTGAGCAAGACCTGGACATGGTGCGACGGAGACTGACAACGGCATGATACCGATGCGTTGGTTTCTTTCTCTCCCGAAAAAACTGCTTCTTTTGCTTACCCTTTTTAACAAGAATCCAAAAATGCATGAACCGATTATGATTATCAATTTTGTGTAACTGATGTAATCGGTGATCTTAATGTTGTTGAGGCTTCAAGTTACAGATTTCCCAACCAGAACTGTTTTGACGAAGGGAACATGAAGTGCGCACTCTATTGTCGTTTTGAGTACATGAACTCGAGGGGAACAAGCCATTTGAGCAGTTGAATCCACATGGAGAACAAATATGTAAATCATTAAATCTGGTTCGTGAAGAAGACTCATGTTGAAAGTGAAGTTCTTTGGGCCACAAGATCCGGGAGTGCATAAATCTGGACTCATAATTGTAATGGATGATCGAGGTTAGATGGAGAAGAAGGGTTTGTGACCAATAATAGAGAACAATATCATCTTCTCGAATCCTACACATGATCGAATCAGATGAGGAGTTTACATTCCCCCAAAACTAAATCGCGTGATTATCTATTCTGATTCCTCCAAAAATTCGAGCACTGATTGCTAATGAGACAAATGAAGTCCCTGTGGATTGAGTTGCCGACGATGGGGATGGGAAGGGCTTAAGGCTTAGCAGCTCACAAAGAAGGAAGAGATAAAGAGAGTCGGTGTACAAGAATAGGTGTACAGTGGTGGGTTTTTTAAGGACCAAATATATAAGTTTATTAGAAAGGGTCGAGATAACGTGTAACACCCTGTTTCCAAGTCAAAACCTAAGAGCTGAAGATGTGTTTTAAGTATTATTTTATTCCGATATATGAATATAATTAAATAATGAGCCTGGTGAAAAAGTGTGTAATTTGGCATTATAATTTGTTTAGAAGGACTAAAGAGTGCTTTCGGGGTTCGTAGTGGAAAGAATACTTGAACATATGGCTAAGGATAATCAGGCGGGCTCGTTTTGTAGTCCGTGGGCTTATAGTGAAAATATTGTGTAGAGGAGGGGCTATTTGGGCAAATTGGTATTTAATTTGAAAGGAAAAGAGAAGGAAGGGCTGAATATGTCGTAATTGAGGTTTTGGGGGTTAAAACAGTAATTTCTGGATTTGTTTTGCAAAAGATTCTCAAAGTGGGGGGCTGTTTGGTAAAAGATTGGGCCTGAATTGAAGAGGATTTTAATGTTGGGGGCTGAAAGGGTAAATTTCGGACCTACTTTGAAAGAAAAAGGGAGGGGAGGGGCCAAAGGTGGCATTATGGGATAAATTGTATGGGGCTCGGGGTATAAAACCCTTCACCCGATAAACCCTAACCCTAATAAAGCAATCTACAGCTGTCACCTCCACCACTTTATACCTCCCTCACCGGCGCCGCCCTTCACCACCGGCGCTGCCACAGTTGTTGGAGTCGGAAAGACCGTCGTCCCCACCGTGAGCTGCTGTCGCTGTCAACACCGCTGCTACCATTCCATTGCCTGACGCCGAGAACAGCCGAGAGAGGACCGCCATACGTGATGCCTTCCGTTACCGCCACCCAACTCTCTCCCGTTCTCCGATCTTTGCATCCACTGCCGGCGATGACGATAACCGGCAGATAGGACCGCCGTGGCCGCTAGGGCTGCTGCCCGCCTTCTTGTGTCCGTCGCCGTCTATACGGTTCATGCTAGCCGCTCCGGTTGCTGTCACACCCCCAAACCGATACGGCGGAAACGTTCGGGGGCGGAGGACGTCATGAACAATATCATCACAAATGAATAATAGTAATCAAAGCAACAACAACCATTGTATTGAATATATAGCGTTTACATTGTATTCGAAACATAGCTTGAATGACTCTAAATGCATATAGTAAAAACTAAGACTAGAAGCTATCATGCTCCATCTTCTTAAAAACCTGTGCGGGTACCTGCCTACTGGTTTCCTGAGAATACAAGTAATTTTGAAAGAGCGTCAACATTTAAGTTGGTGAGTTATAACTATTTTGTTTTATAAAATAGTTCTTTGTTCCTTAAAAATGTTCGTATGTTTCTCCAGAAAATCCTATATTTTCTTAGTAAAATGGGATGTAGTCTTAGTCTATTCGGACCAAAATAAGTAAATGTTAACGTATTCTTAAGCAGTAATATTTACGTAGATTTTAATCTGTATAAAAACCATTTGAATGCATGATTTCCGATATGAAAGTTGTTTTGTCCTTGAAAAACAGTGTAATGTAGTTTTATAATGATACCGCCCTTATGTATGCATGCTCTCGGGTAAAAGTTGCTCCAGTTATGTAAGTTTCTGTGTCATAAAATAGTGTACTCCTAGAAAGTCCTATAGATTCCATCTATAATCCCCCAATGTATAAAATTATATAAAAATCGAGATCGAATAAACCGTCAAATATAATGGGTCTGCCCTAAGCCCACAACCACACAAGGAACATGATTTAAGGCGGACCCAACCATTTCCAAGTCGATCGTGTCTAAATTTTATATAACCCTGCCGTATTCACATAACAATTATGGATGGAATCTAACCATTCTAGACGATATGTAGTCTTAACTACCCTAAGACCGATAAGAGTGAATGTTTATTCTTGGAAATAGTATACTTCAGTAGTACATAATTAGACCTTCTTTCTTTGTAAATGTATTGTATGTTCAAGAAAAATCTCATATTTTCCTTATAGAATGAGTTGTAGTCTTAGAGATCAAAGACCGAATTGTACAAGTATCTTCCATACTTATGATAGTAAGTGCAGTTTTAAATGAATAAAACCCTTATGAATGTAGGAACTCCCATAAACTATATGTGTCGTTGTTTCCCTATGTGAGTTATTATAACCATGCAATTGACATAGTAAGCCTGTTACGACGTTCTTCAGGCGTCGGAATGTTTTGACATTTGTCACCCCAGACCTGCTGGTCTAGCTATTGTAAGCAACTTAGGGTGCGAGATTGTCAGTCCCAATATAGATCTATACACAAGTATCATGCTTTCCCTATAAGAGATTATGGTTATAATACAGGACTTTAAACAGTACTCTAAGAGTACAATGAAGTAGTGTATCACAACCGAATTTAACGAGTTTACGTGTAGAGTGAGTGAAAACCCTTTTTGAAATGTAAAAATTCCCGTAAACTATATGTGTTGTTGTTTCCCTATATGAGTTATTATAACTGTGCAATTGACATAGTAAGCCTGTTACGACGTTTTTCAGAAGTCGGAATGTTTTGACATTTGTCACCCCAGACCTCCCGGTCTAGCTATTGTAAGCAACTTAGGGTGCAGGATTGTCAGCCCCAATATAGATCTATACACAAGTATCACACTCTCCCTACAAGATATTATGGTTATAATACAAGACTTTAAACAGTACCCTAAGAGTACAATGAAGTAGTGTCTCACAACCGGATTTAACGAGTTTACGTGTAGAGTGAGTGAAACCTTCCTTAGTATGTTCATAGTGTTAATGCACCATAAACTATGCCTATTATAGTTTATCATATGTGTACCTTCCTTAGTATGTTTGTAGTGTTATTGTACTATAAACTATACCTAATATAGTTCATTATAAGTGTGCCTCCCTTAGTATGTTCGTAGTATTATCGTACCATAAACTATACCTATTATAGTTTATCATACATGTTTGTAGTGGATGAAAACCCTTATGAATAACTAACTCTATTACGTGACAGTAAACTAACATGAAATACACTCAATATGTAGCTAAACTTGGTTGTACACTTTGCTCAACATGTTACAAAGTGTTAATAAACTTGTAGACTGTTTTTATTAGTTATAATATTTATGTCACTGTTTTTAGGAAAATTGTAGAAAAATCATTGTAAGTCGAAAACTAGATCCGCAAACTCTGAGAGTTTAGAAAATGTGTCTAGTTTGTTCATAATTGTTATTTTGATTTTTAATGGTCCCTAACCAGTGTGAAAATGTCCATCTTCACAGGATGGTCCGAAATCATTTTTGAAGTGATAGGCAGTTTTGTAAAAATCGCCATAAATTGTAGAAAAATCGTATGAACGTGTGAAAGTAGTCATTAGAAAGGTATAAACCTGAACTAAATTCATATTAAACAGTTTTTAAAAAATATAACGTTTAAGATGGTCAAAACAGTTCGTGAATAGACTATAACTTTTCTGTTGAAAGCTGTTGATTTAGTTTAGAATATGTTTTGGGTGTTGTAACTTGTATTCCCCCCCCTCCCCCCTAAAACTTGAAGAAAACATAAAAATGTAGGGTTATGAACTCACCTTGAGTGATTCCCTGATATGGATGTTGAAGAAAAGAGGTTTCCAAGTCAAGAACACTTGGGGAATGCTTAAGGATTTGAAGATCCTAAGAACAAATATGACGATATTTGTATAAGAAATCCATGATTTGAGTGAAGGAGTGTAGAATATTCAAGAGTGGAAATGAAGAACTTACCAAATGTGGGGGAAGAACTCGTGACTTCCTGGAGCTCTTGTTTCTAGAGAGGGAGTAAATGAGAAGAAAGAGAGAGAGAGAGAGAGAGAGAGAGAGAGAGAGAGAGAATATTTGATTTAAGATTGTGGTAGATGAATCCTTTGGGAAGTGTGAGTAATATGAATCTTTTAGGTAGATTTGGTGTAAGAAATCTGATGGAGTGTTGGGGATGTGTAGAAAAGGACAATGATTTGACTAGGTAAAGTGTGAATAGTGACATAAAGTGGGTAGGGTGTCATAGCTTCTTGGAAAAGTCAACCACCCTTAGATAATACCTTGTTCAAAAGATATTATCTATAGTAAAGATTTCCCCAAAATATGTTTAAAATATGAATGTATGGGGTCTAATATGTTAAAATATGAGTTTGGGTGAAAATCCCCCGTCAAAATCATCAAAAAGGAGCTTAAAAAGCGAAAGTGGTCGAAAACCGGGAAGAAGAGGCGAATCTGCGAGGTTAGAGGTTCGGTTGCGAGGGTTCGGTTTGTGAGGCTAGGGACCGAAAGTGGATGGAACCGAAAGTGGCTGAACCAAAGATGAGTTGAACCGAGGATAGTCTGAACCGAAGGCAGGAATGGATCTCGGACCGAAGGTTCGGTTCTATGCTGGGTTCGGTCCTAAGAGGGTTCGGTTCCAAGGGTGGGGCTTCGGTCCTAAGGGGGGCTTCGGCCCTATACTGCTGTTTTTCAATTAATCTTCCCGTTTCGAGTGGTTTTTGACTAAGTTAAGGGTCGGGATGCCCCGAGTGATTATCAAAAGTTAAGAGGAATTTTAAGAGAGATTTGGGAGAGATTTGGGATAGAGAGAGATAGAGTGAGAGAGATTGAGAGAGACTTTGCCGGTGGCCTTTATTAGTGTTTGTCCCCGTAAGGCAAGGTTCGTAAACCCCATTATGCCTTGTTATGAGTGTTTTACGCCCCCGAGAGGTACATAATAGTGCTTTATCGAGTCGATGCATCACTCACTTCGCTTAGGGGTTAGAATTTCTGAACTTCTGAAATTCCGAGTGACACTTAGTATTAAGATAGAGAGTTTGTACATTAGTAAACATCGAGTACGCCCTATCATGCAAGCACTATTTGAGTTTACCGATTTGACTCGTTGACTTTATTTGACCTTGACTTGACCAGAAATTGACGGGTGTCACAGTTGCCCTCCGCCATCATCTTCCACTGTTACATCACAAACCGCCGCTCTTGCCGCCGCTGATGCTGATCCAAGAGTCGCTGTTGCCGGCTGTTGCACCACTGCCGTCGCCGGTCACCACAGGTGGGTGATTTGGGTCCGTTTTTCGAGCAAAGGACGAGTAGTTGTGCTTCTACTACGGCTGTACATACTGTGTGTGCCTAGCTTGGCCGGAAATTGCAAGGACAGCCACCACCACCACCGTGAGGTGGTGGCTGCCACCATGTACCACCGTGTGTGTGTATCTTAGTGAGTGTGTATGTTTATTTGAGACTTAGCATTGTAAAATGTAATTAGAAATTGGAATAATGAAAAGAAACTCTAACCACCACCGTGAGGTGGTGGCTGCCGCCACCAACTGCCGTGTTGGGTGGCGGTGTGCTTTTGCTTGCGTTTGGTTGCTTTTGGATGCGTGGACAAAATGGACTAGACACCATAACCACCACCGTGAGGTGGTGGCCACCGCCACGAGCCGTCGTTGACCACCACTACCCGAGGTGGTAATGGGTGGTGCCCTACTAGTGAGACCCTAATGGGCCTAGTGAAACCCTAATGGGCCTAATGAAACTCTAATGGATCTAAGGACTTAGCTATTGGGCCTATTGGGTTGGGATTGGGTTGGAAACCCTAATTAGGGTTTAGAAAACCCTAATTTTGGATATATGGGCCTTGGACTTATCGGGACCCACATTTGGGTCATTGGAATAGAATTGTGAATTACACCCAATCACACCATATGACTTATCTAGTAGAGTGATGGACTTAATGGATTAAGTCCTTAATGGGCTAAGTGAGAAACACTTAACCCTAATCGTCATTTTATGTGAAAACCCTAATTTTAGTTGGGCCTTTCTAT